AAGAATCAAAAGGATTTAAATGACATTAATACAATTTTACTGGAAAGCAAAATGAAAATATTATACTCTCGACGTATTGTCTTGTGATGTGTTCCCCAAAAATTGTCTTTAACATTTCTTCCAAAAATTGCTGAACATCTGTAAAACAAAGACAGATAAAAGAAGGTTATATTTGCGAAAACAAATTGACGAAAAACATGTTTTTGAAAATAATGTCATCCCGTTGATGGTTTTAACCTTTTAAATAAATTACTCAATGTGCGTTAGACGTCCTATTATAGGTGTATTCTGCAGACTCTAGTGGATACCTACTGTATCGTTATTGCCGATTATTATATGTAAAGCTCTTGTCGCTTTTGGATAGATATTATATATATATATATATATTTTTTTTTTTTACTACTCGACGGGTATTATTTAACAACAAGATTTACTACTGCGGCTTATTGTCACGAAAATGGACAGAAATCCTTTTGGATGAGTCGCTCGTGTCAGACCTACGGCACTCGTAAGTGTTTTCGGCCGAGAGGCGTTTCGTGCAAATCCTTTGAAACGTTTCTGGCACGGTTTTTTCTCTTATTATTATTATTTTTTTTTTTTTGTAGTCCTCGCGTACTTCCACCGTGTGTCCAACATATTCTACTCAAACGGTGCCATATATCATATAATATGCGTTGTGTAAATTGTTAATTTTTTTCCAGTGTTAGGTACAGAGTTCAATTTTTTTTGTACTCGATTTTCGTGGGTGATTTACAGCACAATATTAATTTAAAATATTTAACAAAGATTGTTCGATGAAAAGGTGTTTTTATTTTCAAACTATTTTTAAATGAATGTACAGGGGAAAAACGGTAGTAGTCACATTATGACAATTTTTTTTTTCAATTTATGCCAATAATTTTTTTTATTTCAATGTCAATAGATTGTTTAAATAAATACGTTTATTATTAGAGTAGCATTTAATGTGATTTTTGTTGTTGTTATGTAAGAGGTAGAGAAATTCACGAACTTTGTTTTTGCTATACTCTAAAATTTTTATAATGTGACAACTACCGTTTTTCCCCTGTGCCCTTCATATACTTTTCAATTCAATAGTTTTATTTCTAAATAATATTAATAATTATTGTAACTAAAAAAAAAAAACCATTACGTGAAGATATTACTGAACAAAAATCAATATAAATGTACCAGTTGTACCATTTTCACGGTAAATTCACATTTTTAGACATGTACCTATATTGTACGATCGGTTTCGACGCCATTGCACCAAAAGACTTTTTAATCTAGCTCCTTTATTTCATACACTCGGTACTTGGGCGTACTGTATATATTGAAACAAAATGAAAAAAAAAGTAAAAAAAACAGCTCTCAATCAAAACTAACATCGAAGGCGGCAGCGGATAATATAAAGCATTTCGCAAGAAGAAAAAGAAATAACCAGACACAAAGCGTTCGAATCGTATGGCAATGTAATACGATGACGGTATTTCTGTTGTTTTTATTTTATCTTTTTCTTTTTTTTTCATTGTATTGAGCACGTGGATAGTCTTTTAAAATTATGTGAAAGACCAACAGCTGTTTTGGACGAATCGATCCCCACGACATGTATCAATACTGTTTTTGTTAGGTAATTTCATTGAATGAACACCAAAGTCGGTATATAGTGAGGACGGTGAGCTCACAAGTCTTCGGAGGGGAATTAATTAAAAATTAAAATGATAAAAATCTCTAAATCACCAAAAGATGCGAAACTCTATTAATGATAAAAAGTATTAAATGTAATTATTTTCTAGATAATACAACCTGAGTCCATAATCGTGTTATATTGATTTTGTGGGTTTTACTCGAATAAACAAAGTAGGTATCGCTCTGTACAAATGACGAAAAAATGAAAAAATAAATATCAAATAAAATCGCTATAAGTTAATATCAACAGGTAGTAATAATATACGGGTCATTTCACCGAAAGCGGTATATACATGTGTCCAATGACATTTCATTACCATTATTTTTGACATGTCTCAAAAATTGTTCATTTAGGATGTATTCAGGGCTGTGTCAATCAAAATCATCATTCTGCTCGAATAACTAGAGTAAAAAAAAAAAAGCGACATCGGAATAGTATGGCAGCATTGTCTGCTAAAGAATGATTTTTGGAGAAATACAGTTAAATCATCCGTAAATTATGGGGATCACGGTTTTGTTATGTCCCAAAATTAGTACCTCACTCCCTCATTGAGTTTAAAATTTGCCACCGTAGTAGGGATGGTTTGAATTTTTTTTTTTAGGGAGCATCTGAATCCCTCTAAATCCAACCATAACGTTGACTTTGTCTGGGAAGCGGTTAATTATGAAGTGAAAGGGTAAATTTGTTGATTTATGATTTTCACTCACCTCACAGCCCTGTTAATCACAATAGTGACATCACTAAAGTAATTTTAACCTAAATGTACATTAGAATAAGGCGCAGTATATCATTAAGATTTTTTTTTCCATTTCCAAAACAATCAAGGTTATCACAGTTTTCAAAGAAATTCTCACACCCCCGGACTTTCACTCCTCTGGAATTGAGCTTATAAGTGTACTGAGCAATTACGTTCCGTGACGGCCTCTTTTGGATTTTGACCTTTAAGTGATAATGAAAAAGACGATTGAAAAGTTCAAAGCCTTCGTAAAATTTCAATACCAAAATTTACCACTTTTTGCGAAACGACTCATACAATTTTTTATGAGTATTTGGTTTTTCATTTATCCTTTCTTCCTTTATAAGAAGTTTCACTATAGGTTTTTGAAAAAAAAACTTTTCTTCTATACAATATAAAAAATAACCAAACAATTAAATTTTTAATTAAGTATTCTCCAAGGCGCTAAAATAACTATAAAATTACAATTATTTTAAGAAAAAATGAGTGTCTTAACTTTAATGTATTGTATGGTATTTTTTTAATATAATTTTTGATCTATAGACTGGATAAATAAATGAATTGGTTTAGTAGATATCATGGTCCAAACACACATATATTGCAAGTATTTTAATACACAGAACACACTATACATTCTTTATGTCAAACGACTGTCATAGCATTAAACGTTATTATATCCTTTTTATTCGTTTCATTTTAATCGTCTTCTACCATATTCTTTTCTTATGTCTCTCCCACACGGAACACGGCTTCCTGTCTCTATTAAATATCAACTGACTGCACCATATCAATTATGATGCAGAACCCCAGCTCTAAATTGGCTCATATTTCTTATGAGATTTGTAATAATAGTCCACGTATTCACTGCCTTTGTTTTGCCTTGCATTAGGTGCGTTGACTGCATTTTGTATGCTAGCTGCTATAAATGTTCTTAGCCAGTACTAGTAGTATGATACCTAATCTATTTTACTGTAGATTGTAGAATTGTTCCTGGAAATAGTTCATTCAATACAGACCATTTTCGTACATATTTCAAGACCAAATTTACATTAAAAAGGACTGCGCTATTAATAAGGGTCGACCCATACTTGATCAATGCAAAGTTCATCATATCAAGTTAACTTTTCTAAATGACTTACGTTTGTTATGTCAATAATGTGTCAGCGATGCACTTGAAATGTTTTGTAACAATCTAATTTCAATAATAAACCTAAAAAAAATTTGGAGGTGACTTATCCATCTTTGTGTACACTTTTGCAGCAATATAGTTTAGCTGACTAGAGCTCGTTGTATGTGTGTAACACAATCACACTAAATCTGATGGGCCGATATTATAAAGTCAACTCGTAGCTTGAATACTACGAACTACTTTAGGTTTTTAAATTCAGTAAAATTTGAAATTGAAGTAAGAGGTAATAACGCAAGTGGTATTCAGACAGTCTTTATTTATAAATCCCGTTTTATTGATGTACATCCGGTTTAAATGGTTCAATGTAGATTACAAATGAAACAAGTTTATTACATTTAGTACTTACTATTTAATTTGTACTACTTGTGATATATTTTATTTCTAAACTTCATTTGGCGTTTCATTGTTATATTTGTAATTATTTACGATTAAATTTACTCTGTAATAGGAGTTAGGAAATTATAGCGAGGGTGTTTGAACATAATATTTTGTTTTGTACAAAACTAAGATTATAACACTGTGGTAAGATGGCACAAGTTGATAATATGTTACTTTTTCCAACTTTCGGCAAAATAAAATTACAGTTTTTAATTGATAATAATTCTAAAGTTTTGCATTGTTGTTATTTCCATAAACATTAAACAAAATATATTTCTTTACGTTATCAGCTATTTTAAAACTGAACCAAAAATTGATTTTTGGAACACATATAATATGTTTAGAGGGAACAAGGGGAAGAAGATACTTTATAAAATGTTTAGATATCAAATCAAATGAATTTATATTTTATTATGATTTGATAACGAAAGCATCCAGACGTACTGCGATGTTTTGCCACTTTGTGTGTGATGTTAAATCAAATTACATCGAAATCGTCAAAAAGTGACTTGCCAAAGTTTTAACACCGTGTAAAAAAATAAATATATATACGTATAAATCCACTCCACCGCACTGAGTATACATTATGAAGAGGGTTTTTTTTTATATGATTTTCTTTCGTTTTTTTTTTTTTTTAATCATTATTATTATTATTATTTTTTTTTAAGAAATATTTTACTGTGATTTGGCGGCTGTCGTCGCAATGTGCCGGCGGTCGTTGTTTTTATTATACTTTAGAACTGCTGCGGCGGCGGCGGCACGTTAAGGGATGATCGAAGGCGGGGAGGTGCGCTTTTTGTCCCTCGGCACAGTCACAGCGCCCGAGACGGAAGGGGGGCGGACGCGGAGGGGCACCGTCGGTTGTCTGATTACGGCGTGCGCGCGGGCAAGACTGTTCTGCGGTGCCGTCGGCGACTCTGAAAACGGGATCCCTTTGCCGCCGCCGCCGCCACCACACACACACACTCGCCCACCAAAACCAACCGTCGAGCCGCAGTCGTTCCCGTCGAGCTTTTCGCGTCGCACGCGGCCAACTCGAGCCACTTTTGACCGTCGCTCGCGACTCCGCGCCCGACTTGTTCGCGTGTGCAAAAAAATTAATTTGCTTACCTCGTCTTGTCTTTTTGCAAAGCGCTCATCGGTTTACCGTCAGTCTTGAGTGCGCGCCGCATTTTTTTTTTCACACCGTTTCCCCGGACATCGTCAAGCGTCCAGCGCTCGCCGGCCCGGCAAACCCGAGGTAGGATTTTCATTTTTACCAGTTCACGGATTATTTATATTTTTTCCCATACATCATATTCGTGACACATTTTCTTAATGGATTAGAAAATTGTATTTTATAAAAAAAATTATTTTTTCCAAAACCACCCCCGAACACGTTTTACATATTATTATACTTAAGCAGTGCCCAATTATTAGTACAGCAATGGCAGCGTCTAAACATACAATTTCTCCCAAGAGTCTTAACCAGACCATCTACCCTCATATGGAACCTCTTTGAACCCTCCCGGTAGCCGCCACAATGGGAAAATATTCCGCCAAATTAAAACGGCAAGTTAACCGACCTGTGATTCCTTATCATATATTGAATGTTTTAAATGTGAAAAATTCAATAAATACAAAAATATACGTTGTAAGCGCACACAAAGAAAACGTTTAAACGATAAGAAATTTCTGAGCAGCATTATAGTTTTTACAAAAAAAAAAAAAACCCGCCAAAGTGTTTGTATTTTATTTGTGTTAAACGGTTTACATCGACATTTCGTTATGATTACATATTTTATTCGATTAAAATGAGTGTTGTCAATCAAATTTAACTTGAAAAAAATTTTTTTTTTTTAATTTTGCCTCATTGGTTTATACTTCATAATAACGCCTCTTTACCCTACTCTGAGAAAGTGCCAACTATATAGTACTATTTAATTTTAGCAATACATTTGTCACTCTTTTGCCTAGTTCTTTTTCAAAAAAAATAATTGGTTAAAAAATTTTTGAAATGGAGTATTAATAATTAGCTGTAAAATTAGTAGATCTAATACAAATTTGATAATAGAAAAACAAAATACAAATTATAGGTTGTTTTTCAAATAAAATTATAGCGTGTCAACGGTGTGTTTCTATTGAACAACAATGCTCCATAAGCAAATGGCGATTGGCAATAGCAATTAGGGAAAAACGTTCTGTTTTTGGAGGAATCGTACACGTGTTGTAAGCACAAAAGCCAATTTGATGATTGCCACCTGGGCCGTTCCCTCGGGAGATATTGCCTATACTCTCCGATCCACACCAGACATTCTTAATAGTTTCCCCACATTGCTGTAATTTATTAAGCGAGTGATTTAAATCGTATTTCCCAATGCCGTACACGTTGTATACAATGTTACTATGAGGATAACCGTACAATATCTACCTTTTTCACAAAACAAACAACGGATCAACGTCACACATACAACTAGGGTTGAATAATATATTGTATCGCATATTTTTTAAAATACATTTCTTACTCATCTAATCACTTTATGTGGTATTGTTCAGAACACATTACAATTATTATTAGTAAAATAAAAAAAACATACATCGGCTGGTTTTTTTTATAGTCTCGTCGTAGAATAAAATGAAATAAATTATGTACAATGTTGCAATGTATTACTATTGATAGTGTTATACATAATAGCAGGGATGGGTAATATTTGAAATACTAATATGTTCATTGTATATTAAGTCTCAATTTATTTGTAGTTTATAATTACATAGAAAATACTGTTATCAAATTGTAATTATTTATATTACAGCGAAAATGTTTGACAGCGTCTGTTACCTATTTCATAACTGAAATTATATTATGTATAATTATATTTATATATTACTAAAACATTAGCGGATTCAATTCAAAAACACACTTATTTCTTCAATTTTTTAGTCAAATAATATTATTTAATAAAGTATAACAACAAGTCATATTTTTAAGCAGCTAAAAAATGATTTGAGTAAGTACAAAAAATTACATAAAATTAGGCGCAGCTCGTAAAAAAAATCCATACGTAGACAACGAATGTATTTAAAATCTTGAACAAAAATGTTTATTATGTAATTTATTTAATAACTTAACAATGTTTTCTGTTAATGCGGTATGCAGCAATTATTTAAATATAACGACAAAAGTACTAATAAATTATAAAATAGTTATTAAAACTGAATGCTGAGAATATAAATATTTTTTAACCATATGTTTTCTAATCTTAATTATTTAAATCAAGAAGAAGTGATCTTGTTTCATCAGAACCTGGCAGAATTTCAATAATATTTTTTTCATTCTGTTTGTAGCAGGTAGTTTTGCCTTCGATAGAAGTTAGGACGCAAAGACTAAAAGAATAGTCAAATATGGCAGTTGTTATAAATGTAAATTTTTTAAATGGTGAGTCTTCTGAATTCTTGTATAGTGCAACTAAGTAACAAATCTGGGTAAAATTAAAATCCTGTTCAATTCCATCTTAAAACAAAAAAATAATTTATTTGACAAACCGAGCTTAATAGTTACTAGTTTTATTTGACACAATTATGATTTATAGACGTGCCATAATTTATAGATTTAGTGGGTAAAAAAAAAAAAAAAAGAATGCCTAAAAAGCAGTACTTTCAAAGCTTTGAAGCTAAAAGTTATTATTTATAATGAAAATAATAGATAATAATTAAAAAGCAAGAACTAAAAAAAAAAAATCAAAACCATTACAACTTTTTATTAATATTTACCAATTATACGTGTGATTAGGGATAGTAGGCAAGGATAAATCATTTTTCTTATATCAAAACCAACATGTATCAAATGACCCATCGACATTCCGAAATCTGTAATAAAAATGATAAAGAAATAAGAACCGTGTTGAAAAATAATAATTAAAAAAAAAATTAGTGGCTCGTTATATTATTTTATTACATTTTAAAGATCTCTAACGCAATTAACTTATAGGATCTTTTTACAATATCACCCTATCGTTAGGTGAAATTTAATCGAATAAATATTTATTCTACTATTTTTCGATTTAATAGAATAATGCCCAGCTTAAAGTATATATATATATAGCTAGTAGAAGTCAACATTTGAAATCAAAGTAGTCACCTAACTCAATATGTATTATATCAAAAGTAAAACGGTTTGGTGTCGCTTTATTATTGTAACATGATAAATGTCACAATATTCGAATATATATTATATGAAATTTGACATTTTTTTACTGAGTTTTACTTGAACAGCAATCGAAATAAATGTCGCACCCAAATTTCAAAGAATACTATTTTTGGTATACTTATAAAATGATAAATAAAACACTTATGGCAACGATCGTCATTTACAAGCAATTTTTAAGAGGATGAAGTGGATTGTTCACTTTCAGTTCGAGCGATCAATCGAAATAATTTTGATTAACTCATATAAATTTCGAATGATATCTTTCTAAATAAGTTCATTTATGATTAATGATTAAACGCGTGTTTACCCACGGTGTCAGCGGAAGGCACATCGAGAGCTGTAACAAAAATAACATAAAAATCATTTACTGTTAATAAAAACAATTTTTTATATTTTAAACATACAAAGACAGTCGCCGTAAATTTGAGATTAATTAGACTCAAATTATTACTCAACCAAAATAACGTAAAAACCTCAAATTTCTTCAAACTAACGATAGCCTTATGACTTTGAACTTGAATTAAATGATGACCGTCTTTCTTTCGGATTAATTTCAGATTATCAAATTTCCGGAAAATATTATGTTAGTTTTATATTTACATATGGCTTCGTATATTTCCGTTTGCAAATTATACTGATATTCCATGCATTCTAAAATTCAAAACGAAATACATTTGAATGTAAATATTTTATACTTATGTTTATATATATATTTATACAACTCTGTATAAAGTGTAATAAATACACGAAATATTTAAAGATGATTACTTTCAAGGTCTTGAGTTCTAACTGCATATTCTGAAATTACAACGAACACATTTTATTCTTATCGAAGTACTTAATAACTAGTGGCAAAGATTCCATAAAATACAAAACAAATTATTACCCGGTACAGTCAACATATAAGTCAATTCCTCTACATTAACATAACACACATTGATGATTAATTAAAACGTATTAATTTTCTATTTTATTTATACGTTGGAAGATATTTTTTCAGTAATATTATTTTTTTTATCATAAAATTACCAATATTATATTTATCTTTAAGGATTATTCTTTTTATTATATACTCCAATCTTCTTAGACCCGAGTCTGGATCTTCATTCTTAGCTATAAAAAAAGGTTTAAATCAAATACTAATACGATGCTTTAAGCGTTGACCATTAAATTCAACTCTACTCATTCTATTAGGTTAAATAGCCACTACAGCAAATATAAACTAGTATATTTATATAAAATATATTTTACTTTCTAGTTTAGATGCAAGCTCGATGTGTTTGTCTGTAATATATTTATATATATAAAAAAATACCAATAAAAACAGTAAGTCTTAAAAGCTTGAAAAGTTATTTGGTGTGTAAAAAATGTTACTAACTTGTAATGGAAGCCAAATTTTTATAGTCTTCTGTAGAAAATGTTAAATGTTTTTTTTTAAAAATTTTAATTACTTTGAATAGCTGTGTGTAAATAAAAATAATCACCTTTAGTAACTGCCAAAACATTTACAAATGCAAATGGTAATAAAAAACAGTAAAGATTCATTTTTGTCTGCAAATCATAGTAACAAAAAAACATTTTACATTAGACATAGACGCCAATTATAAAAAAAAAAACAAGTACAGTGAGATCGGGAGCATAGTGGGGACAGAGCGTGTTGGGGTAGGGGAGGTCATTGATCTATAAGTATTATCACAACTGAAAAGGATAAAATCACTTTCAAATAAACGCTTCGACTCGCATCTGTAATGGTAAAAATACAAATATCAATTGATGTATTGGACCTAATGAAAATAATGTGTTTTAAGATGAATTTTTAGTAATACGTTTAATACCATTAGGGTCGATCGTCGGTCTATAATAATACATTATCATAGTTTTCCATGTATCGTAATTACCAATAATGTGTCTCCTCAACCGCTGAATTGATTTCTTTAGTTATAGCCTATAGCTATAAAAAAGTCCTATGAATCAGACATCTTATTCAAAAGGAACTTCATAGGACTAAAAATGAGTATATATTTATTTCTTCGTCTTCAAAATCGAGAAAAACACACAACCAATTTACATATTTTTCAACTTAATATCATAGCACACCATAATATTTTGAAATTATTCAAAAATAATGTTTTTAAAAAAAGTATGAATACATTTTGACTACATTTCAAAAAGTAATAGCGTAGTTAAATTATACTTTAGGCTTATTATGATTTTGAAGTGTCTTCTATATGTGTAAACAATGAAGGATCTTTTTATACACAATTTTATACCTATTATAGACTTTGTAATAATTAATAATGAGCTATCGGTTAAAACATTATCATGCAAGTATAGACAAAACATTCTTAAAAAAGTTATAATAAAAGTACATTAAAAGTATATTTAAAGTGTATTAAAAGCGTACTTACAATTATCAAAGCTTGATATTATTTTTTATTTAGTTAATTGTGTTAATTTATTAAACAGCGAAACTTTAAAAAAAAGATCTGTTTAATCAACTTGACTAACTGTGTAAAATATGATTCTTGCGACTTGTCGATGGGCTTATATATCGACCGAAACAGTAAAATCTAAATGTATTTTTCGGGTTGTCTATATGTGTATATTTACATAGCTGGTTTTCTTTCGTTATGATAACATATTTATATTGCTCTGAAGTGGAGTTTAAACGGTATACATTTCAGTTATTGTGTTTAAAATCATTTTTAAGACTAATGTTTGCAGTGTTTAGTTTTAACCATTTGTTTGTTCACACCATTCTGTCGATAAAAAAGTCCTGTTATATTTATTTAATATTTTATAAGTATTTACAATTGTTTCTCATAATATAAAATAATCTAGTATAAGTGAATTAATTTTACACTTTTTTTTTTAGCTGTGATTTATAACATAAGACCCACATTTTCTACTGATGATAATATTTTAAACTATCATTAGAATAAGCCGAGAATAAAATATATAATATCGCACTGAAAAAAATACATAGTCGGTCCAACTAAAATTATAGTAGACATAATACATTTTTACTTGAAATAATTAAATATATAGTTGACCCAACAAGTAGAAATATCAACATGTTTTTTGGTTCTTGTCAAATGTATTCAAAAATATTTACGAGATAACATTATTTTGTTCCAATCAGGCGCGTAGAGAGGGGGGGGGTGTTATGGTGCTGTAACACCCCCCTCGGCTGTGTTATGATTTCACATTCCTACAATCTATATTATTGATTGTTATTTAGTAAATAAATAATAGCTGTGTAGCTACATTATATGTATTCCTTAGGTTACATATGATCTATATTGTATTGCAATTATTTTAGACATTATCTTGTAACGTTGTGTTATCTACTGGTAAGTACAGTACTATGCACATAACACTTAACAGCTGTTCGGCCGTTCGGTGATAGTAGTTTGCACGGCTGTAGATAGACTGGTTACACGTAGGCCTATACCTCGCAATATTCGATCTGCGACTACTAGAGTTCTTATCTAAAAATATTATGATCAAAATGTCGGACACTTATCAGTCCTGACCTAAGTTTCCCTTCTGGTTTTTCTGTGACCAGTCTAACTATAACCATGGTAATCGGTATTGTTTTATTGTTAACAATCAACAAGATAGGTATTATCAATTATGTTATCATAAATATAATTTTTCAATAATCTACGAAAATTATGACAAATTTTATTCAAAGTAAAATTTAAAATGTCTTCTAGAAGGAAACATAGTAGTATTTTATCTTTCTTCAAAAGAACAAAAAACACACTGATTTAAATGAATGTAATGAAGAAATATTCCCTACTATTTTATCAACTCTACGACGTCTGAAAACGTATTTAAGAAACACAACAGGTGAAAATCGCTTAAATGGTTTGGCGATTATGAACATCCATCGTGACATAATATTAACCACTGAAGAAATAATAAATGAACTATCCATTAAAACCCGTCGTATAAAAATTTAATTTATGTAAACATTACGAATTTGTATGATTGTAAGATTCAAAAAATATAAAATTTTGTTAAGTTTTAATTGAAGTAAATATATTAGATAACACTCCCCCTTTGGAATTCCTGGCTACGCGCCTGGTTCCAATTGTCAAACCCAATATTTCGGGAATAAGGGTCATAACTAGGATCTTTTAACTATACAAAATACATTTAAAATGTACAAATATTTTTTCTAAATACCTACTCTATGTGTACCTTTGATACAATTCTGAAAATATCAATTATAAAGTTTTCTTAACCAGCTTGGATTTTTTGCGTGTATAATAAATTCGTGGGGTATTAATAATTGTCTGTAATTTCGACGGATATTTGTTGTTACTTGTTTGCATTGCAACATATATTTACAGCGATGTGTTTTTTTTTAAGTATTTTTTTGTGTCTGGACCATTGATATTTTTTAAGCCGCAAAACTGATTTTTTCGTGTAGCAACTCGTATTCTCTATGCCAATATTAAAAACGAAATCAAACCGCTTTACTTTTTAATGACGTTCATATCGCCGATTGTCTTAAACCATACAGATTTGTTACTGATCGAGTCCTATAATTATTTACATAGTTTTGCCAAGGTTTTTTAAAAAAAAAATTCAAACCATTTCAAATTGGCTCTCCTCAAATCGTTTTTTTTTTTTATAGTAATTGTATAACTCTCAATTATGATAACACAATTAAAGACTTAATACTTTCCCGTGGCCACTCTACTATGCTACTTGTGTATGTTTTTTCATTAATATAATATAGTGTTTTTATATAATGTTTCGTAGTTTCTACCATATTGTACGTGTGGGAGTTGCTTAACAAACAGATGACCATTTTATGTGATGTCAAAATTGTTTAATAAAGAAAAATAATCACATCAAAATACATAATAACTTTGGTTTATTAAAGTTTCGTCGTAGATATCCAATGTACGAAAATGCAATACTTTGTATAGTATTATACATAATTGACAGGAGGGATGTGCAGTATTTAAAATACTTTTCGGTTCTTTACATTTTGTATTTTTATTCTCAAATTTCTTGTATTTTATAATTACCTGGAAAGTAGTATGATATAAAATTGTAATTATTGATATTGCAGCGGCAGTTTTTCTGTTAATTGCTAACTATATCATAGCCGAAATTCCGTTTATTTGGATATTACTAAAACTAAAGAAACGTTTGAGTACAATAAAGTACTTGAAATTAGATGCAACTCGTAAAAACCCAATATATAGATAACAAATGAACTTAAAATCGTGAACAAAACGGTTTATTATGATCTAATTTAACAAGGTTATATGTTAATGCGGTATGCAGAAATTATTTAAATATAATGACGATAGTACTTTTTAATATATATAATAATTATTAAAATTGAATGATGAGTGCATAAAAATTAGTAAACAAAAAGAGATTCAATTTTCATCAGTCTCTGAAAAAGTATCAGACTCTAACGAAATTACAATAATCTTTTTAATATCCGGAACAAGTGATACAGTTTTAACAACACCTGGTAAAAATTCAACAATGTCGTCCTTTCCTTCCGTTTCACTTAGTTTTCTAGTCTGTTTGAAGTAGGTAATTTGGTCATCATTAGAAATCAGGATGCAATTGTCATCAGAGTCAACTTCAGCAGTTTTTATAAATAGCTTTGTAAATCTTGATGAACTTTTGTATAATCCTATTAAAGTGCAAAGCTGGGTTGGGTTGAAACCCGTTTCAATATTACCTTAAAACAATTTTTTTTTTTAATTAGTCAAAATAAGTTTAATAGTTACTAATTATATTTGTTGTGCAAGAAAACTAAATTATTACTTCTTAGCTATTTTTGTTAGGAATTTATTTATAATATAAGAAATCATATTATTTATATTTTTGTTATATTGTTGAGAATGAAAATAAAGATAATAAATAAAGTACAAGAACTAAATAAACAAAACGCAAATCTATTACAACTTTTTATAAATATTTACCTATTATTTTTTGGAGTAGGGATAGTAGAAAAGGATGAATTATTTCTCTTCTTGTTTCACTAGTTAATAACAAATGAGATGTCGTAAATCCAAAATCTGTGAATACAAATAAATAAAAAATTATAAAGAAACAAAAGCCTTGTTCAAAACTAGTATTAATAAAAATGTGTCTCGTGATATTATTTTATTACATTTAAAAGAACTGTTGTAACGCAACTAGTTTATAAGCGCTATGTTTACAATTGTACCATTTCGTTGGCGCATTTTAATCGAATAATTATTTATTTAAAATTTTTTTAATTGAATAAAACATTGCCAAATTCTAAGTATAAATATAGAAGTAAAAATCGAAATCAAATAAGTCACCTAATTCATTATGTTCTATATCAAAGTGAAACTATTTTGACTATATATTATATCAAATTTAAGAGTTTTTACTGAGTATTACTTGAACATCAATAAAAATAAAATATGTCGTACCCAAATTTTTAAAGAATACTCTTGGGTGTACTTATTAAGTGTTGAAATAAAAGCATAAGACAACAATCGTCATTTATAAGCAATTTGAAAGAGGATGAAGTGGATTCTTCACTTTCAATTCGAGCAATCAATCGAAATAATTTTGATTAACTCATACAAATTTAGAATGATAACTTTCTAAATAAGGTCATTTACGATTAATGATTAAACGTGTGTTTACCCACGGTATCAGCGGAAGGTTTGCGGAGAGCTGTAACAAAAATACCAAATACTAATTTACAAATAGTAAAAACGATTTATATTTCATTCCTATAAAAGACAGTCACTCCAAATCTGAGATTACTTAGACAAATTATTATTAATCAATAAAAATAACGTTGAAACGCCAAATTATTTCGAATTAACGATTTGAATAATATATTTCAAACGACCATCAAAACTTCGAGCAAAAAATATAATATAGCTTTATGACTTTGAACTCGAATTGAATGATTATCGTTTTTCTTTTGGATTAAGTAATTATCAGTTTTGACAAATTTTCGGATAAAAATAGATATGTTAGTTTTATAATTACATATGGCTTCGTATATTTCCGTTTGCATATTATTCTGATAGTTCATGCATTCTAAAATTAAAAACGAAATACATTTGACTATTATTCTGTACAAAGTGTAATAAATATATAAAATACATAAAGATGATTGACCTTGAAGAGTATGAAAATGAAGTGCAATATCTGAAAATAAAACGAAAAAGTTTTATACTCTATGAATACCTAACAACTGATTGGAAATCATTCCTTAAAATGCAATAAAAATGATTACTTGGTACAGTCATCATAAAAGCCAATTCGTCTAATATTAACATAACAAACATTGATGATTAATTAGAACGTATTAATTTTTTATTTTATTTATAAACTGAAAGATTGAAAGATTTATCAGTATTATTATTTTTTAGTCATCAAATTACCCATTTTATATTTATTTTTAAGGATAATTCTTTTTACTATATACTCCAATCTACTTAGAACTTTGTTTGGATCTTCTTTCTTATCTATAAACAAATAGTTAAATTAAATCCAAATGTATGCTTTAAACTCAACTCCACTCATTCTATTAGGTTAATAGCCACTACCTATAGAAAATTATGCTGTATTTCAATTATACCAACTATTACATAAAGTCTATTACACTATGTATACAAGTATTTTTTATTCATAAATTAATTATTTACATAGCGTTTACCCCTTGTGCACTCATAATCTGAACATATTAAATAGACTATACCTAATTATTAATTTACATATCGTTTGGTTATCAGGCAAACAAAATGAAGCAATTATATTTATTTTAAGTATATTTTACTTTTTTGTTTAGAAGCATTCTCGATGTATTTAGCTATAATAAATTATGAAAAAAATACGTATGAATACATTAATACTTAAATAGCTATTTGGTATGAAAACAATAATTTTACTGACTTGTAGTGGAAACCAAATCTACATAATCCTCTATAGAAAAATTTAAATACAAAATGTTTTTTTTTTAAATTTTAATTACTTGGAATAATTGTGTTTAAAAATAACTTACGTATTAATTCTGCCAAAACATTTACAATTGCAAATGGCAATAAAAACCAGTAAAGATTCATTTTTGTCTGTAAATCATAATAACATAAAAGCGTTTACATTAGACAAGAACGCCAATTAATAAAAACTATTATCTCTGATTCAGAGCTGAGAAGGTATTGTTTTTACAACGATATTTTTTTTTTTGTATTTTTGTTAGTGGATCTCAGTGTCTCCTAAACCGTTAAATTTATATCTTTAGTTAGAGGTATATGAAAGTCTATGAATCAGACATCTTATCAAAAGGAACTTCATAGGATCAAAAATGAAACATGTTTATTTCTTTGTTTTTAAAAATGAGAAAAACATCCAACCGATTTACATGTTTATCAATTTTAAATTACAGCGCACTATTAAATTTTTAATAATATATTTAAAAAAAACGTTTTCCACTAGTTTGAATATAATTTGACTATAATTAAAAAAGTTATAGTTTAGTTAAATTATTAGGAATAATCCGATTTTAAAGGTGAAGGGCTAACTATATTTCTAACTATTAGACCTATATGTATAGTATCTGTTACACACAATTGCTGTATTGTACACTTGGTATTGACTGAAATTAATCCATCGGATTAAAAATGATCATAAGTGTAGATACAAACATTGAAAAATAGAAAATTAAAAAATGTTATAAGAAATTTATAAAAAGCGTACTTACAACTTTTGAAGCTTGAAATTGTTACTTAAGATAATTTATTTAGTCGATTGTGTTATTTAATTAATCAGTAGAACTTTTAAGACAAAAATTTGTTTAATCAACTGGTTAGACTATAAAAAGTGTATGAAAAACGTAAAACTTACTGTGTTGGTAGTTTTCTAGCCACTTGTCGTTGAGATTATATTTCATCGGCCGATACTGTGAAATCGAAATATATTTTGCGGGTTGGCTTTGTGAATTTGTTAACATAGCTGTTTGTGTCTCAGTGTGATAACATTTACATAGTTTCGAAGCGGAGAGGTTAAACGGTATATATTTCGGTTATTGCGTTTACAATCACTTCTAAGACTATAATGTTTGCTTTGTTTAGTTTTAAACTTTTATTTTTTTATGTCATTCTATCGATAAAAGTCCCATTGTACCTATTTTATAGGTATTCGCATATTTTTTTCACAATTTGAAAAAAAAAAGCCAGTACAGTGTGGTCGGGGCATAGTGGGGACGGAGAGGTCACGGTCTACAGATTTTATTATAACTGCAAGTGATAAAATCACTTTTAAATAAACGCTTCGATGCGAATCTGTGGATAGTATGTTCAAACCAGTTAGAGCGGTTTAGAAGATATCGTGGGACCAGCAATAATGTACTTAAAATTTAATATTTAGCGTTACGCAGGGTGGATACGATAAGGGTTGATCGTCTGTCTATAAAAATGTATTGCCATAGTTACCCATGTATCGTAATTAACAATATAATAAAAATATTTTCATTACCTGTTGGCTGTTGACTCACTCGCACGTAGCAACCTAGAAACTGACTACGGCCAAAGTGTAAATTTGTACATTTTTTAGGCGTTTTCCTCGATTTTGATGGGGAAGGGGTGACTTTTTTTAATTTTTGGCCTGATAAAGTACCTTCCGGGAATGATTTCTGATCTATAGAGTTGCTACACGAAGGAATCGGTTCAGCGGTTTATGAGATATCGTGGGTCCAGACACAAAAAACATCATTGTAAAAACAATACCTTCTCAGCTCCGCATCGAAGCTAAAATCTAGTATAGTTGCTCTTAATTACCTTCTGTTATCCACTATACTACAAACACGTTATATGTTTTACCTATCAAGCACAATGAAGACCAGTCTGACCAAGACGTGACTACGAATCGTTTTATTCTAACTTCTAACAATTAACAGTAGTTTGTATGTTCTGTTACTGTGTTAGTGTTATTATGAAAAGTAACTTAAAAGTTGCCGTGCTAATGAAATACTTAATAGTTAATAAACGAGTACAGAGATGAGCTGTTTATATTGTGTTTATTAACACATGTCGTGTTATGTTAATTTAAAATGTGTTTTTCGTTTAATTTCTTTGGCAATTGGTATTTGAAAACTAAACAATGCACATATTTAAAGTTGTTTTAAAAGCATAATAATATATAAGACAATTTCGGCTTACGTTTTTGATTATGGCGGAAATCACATTTTAACTTTTCAGAATTAAGAAGTTTGATTTGTTTGGTAAAAAATGATAAGCTTCTAATTGGTACGTTTACTACTTAAAGTTATGTTAAATTATTATTGGCCAATTTGTTTTCTGTGTATTAGGCGAAGGCACTGAAAATTAATCTTCTTCATGCTCTTTTCGATACATCCTGGGGCGTATTTACTTCATCCCCTAGGGTGGGGCGAGTATAAATTTTTATTTATTAGACGTCCAATGTCCCTTAAGCTTCTGCCGTATAAATTATTGATCACTGAATTTTTATCTTCATATTTAATATTTATCATCAAACATCAATTTATCATTTTATGAGACCTCAGGGCTCGGTGAGCATTAATATTTTTTTGTTTTTTGGTGCTATGTTATTATTTAAAATAATCGTAATAAAATATTTCATAAAACCATGATCGAACCACCACCGAAGAGCACACCGATTCGGCACTTGTGCACATAAATGTTTCAATATTTTTTTTTTTTCAACCGCTATCGATGAATATTCATAAATCAAGTGTTAAATTGTTATCAGAATAATGTTCGATCCAACGAAAATAATATAATGTACCTACACCACAAAATTGTCAATGTACGAACACTGTGCACATAGATTTTTTTTTTTTTACAACTTCTGCATGTTATAATACACATAACAACTGGTAAATTAAAAAAAAAACTCGAGCGAACGATTACAGACAATGACTACGTGTATTGAACATGGCTATATCGATGAATATTTCTAAAACAAAAAGCCAGTACAGTGGGTTTGAGACCTAGTGGGCGAGAGCTGCCTGAGTTTGATAAAATCAAATTAAAAAAACGCTTCGATACGAATCTGTAAAAATACAACTATTAATAATAACTATTCGTGTTATTAGGGTGATTACGATTAGATAGTTGATCGTTTGTCTACAATATTTTGTTGCCGTTGTTACCCGTACGTATATTGTAATCAATAGCATAAAATCAAATAAATTTCAGATGCTTGTTGACTGTTGATTCACACACACACACACATTATAACCTAAAAACATACAGTTGTCAAATTCTAATTTCAACTTTTTTGGGTGTTAAAAAAAAAAAGTTACAGTATACTTAAAGCTTAACGGCTAAAATTATAAAACATGGAACATGCTTTAGCCGGCTGGCTCCCGAATAGTGATTATTAATGATCCATAATTTCCTTGCAGGAGTGGGTCACACACGCTATTTTGTGTCGTTTTTGAGTTAAGAGGCCAAGGCATGTTCCATGCTAAAAAAGTTGTCTACAGATTTTAGGATAATCGCAAATGTTATAAGCCCACTCTAGGTCTACCTTCATTCTAATTTTTAGACCTTAAGCCCTAAAGCAGGGAAGGGAAGGGTTGACAATTTTTGGCTTTAAATTTTTTTTGTTCTTTACGATTTTTCAAAAAAAATTAATTTTTAATCAAAATATTCTTATTTTTCTCGGAAATGACTGTCTTAAGTGATCACCCTGTATATAGGTTTTTCTGAGCCCAACTTTGACTAGATACTTTTAATGTGAACAGCAAAATAAATTCTGTCAGCTCCGGTCAATCGAAAAGCTGAAAATGTATACTTAAATTTTAATCACATACTTAGAAGCCACATAGTACATTTTCTCCAGTTTATAAAAAAGTATTTTCGCATATATTTTTCTAAGTCGTTTCTTTCATGTATTGAATTAATCAAATTAAAAAACAAAAGCTCACAAGGCCTCTACCACTTACCGTATCTTTAACCAAGCCCCTTTAAGTGTTGTGGGGCAAATTACTTTACCATTTACTTTGAACTTTTACTCTTGTTTCTTTATTTACTCAAGGTTTTCTCATAACACTTATATAACATTTTTTGAGCGAGCTTGTTTTGCATCATACCAATACGTTTGAATAAATATTGGGTGGTGGTAGATAAATTAAAAACCAAGTAAATATATTTCAGATACTAAATTTAATCTTGCCACAAAAAGTATGTTCTTAAATTAATACAATTTTCACTTATACCGTGTTTGTATTCGTTTGGAATTGATATATGACTTAGGTATATGTTATTATTATTTTTAATGTGTTATTTATAAAATTTACACGGCTATAAACTTTTTTTTTGTTTTAAAAAGTCACGTAGCCATAAAAAGTTGTGAAGAATACTCAAGAAAGTAATTATTGGTCAAATTATTAAATTGTACTTAATATTTAAATGCTTGTAAAAAAAATGATTAACATTAATACGCCATATTCTAAACCTATAGCTTAAAACTTTTAAAGTAAACCGTACGGATACTAAGGGGGTTTTAGAAAAGAAATTTAACCGAAAGGGATAGAATCACTTTCAAATAAAGCTTCGATGCGAATCTGTAATGGTAAAAGTACAAATATCGATAAAAAGTATTGTTGCTGAAGACAATATTTTGCTTAAAAATATGGTTGTTTGGTATTATGGTGGACACGATTAGGGTCATTTTTATAGTCATTTTGACAAATATTTATTATTAATTTTTTACATTGCAACAAACATTGTGAAAAAGTCCGCATTCACCAAAGACAATGTGTCTTTGTCCTTTGAGATAGTATATACATTTTTACGTGGCTTTTGTGGTTAGAATATTAATCTACATATTTCAGACTTTTGTAATTCATTAAACATTTTTAAAACTAAAGTATTGTCACCCATTCATATTTGCTAACTGTGAATTTAGCCGATACTTTTTAAATTTTTGCTCGTTTATACAAGTGTCCCACAAGTCACACCTTTACCCAATGTCATTAGATGTAACAAATAAAATTCAAATATAGCACACGATAAAATTATTAATAGCAAAACACATTGCTGAATTTTCAAATCCGATTTGTCTTAAAAACATATAATAATTTACAAAGTTGTGGTAAGAATTTTTTTCGAGCCTTTATTTTTTTAAAAATAATTTTATAACTCCCAGTTATGATAATACAATTAAACATAAGAAAATTAAAAAATATGAAAAGTCAAGTTTTTAAGCAGCTAAAAGAATAATTTGAGTACAAAAATGGCTTGAAATTACGAGCAGCGTATAAAAAAATCTATACATAGACAACAAAATTACTTAAAATCGTGAACAAAACTGTTTATTATGTAATATATTTAATAAATTAACAATGTTTTCGGTTAATGCAGTAATTATTTAAATATAATGACAATAGTACTAATAAATTATACAATAATTAATAAAACTGGTTTCTGAGTGTATATAAATATTATTTAACCATATGTTTTTTGATATTAATTCTTTATATCGGGAAGAAGGGATTCAATTTCATCAGAATCTGGCCGAACTTTAACAAGGTTATTTTCATTCAGTTTGTAGTAGGTAGTTTGGTCTTCGATAGAAGTTAGGATGCAAAACCAAAATAAGAGTCAACTTTGGCAACGGTTATACATGTTAATTTTATATTTGGTGAGTCTTTTGAATTTTTGTATAGTCCTATTAAATGACTAATCTGAGTAAAATTAAACCCTTTTGAATTCTTTCTTAAAACATAAAAAATTGTTTGTTTTATTTAGTGATGAGTTATGAAAATAATAGATAATATTTAAAAAGCAAGAACAAAATGCAAAGAAAAGAAAAACCATTATAACATTTTATTTAGGTTCACCAATTATACTTCTGATTAGGGGTAGTACGAAAGGATAAATCATTTTTCTTCTATTTAAATATAATGTCAATAGAACTTATAATTTTTATAATAATTATTAAAAATAAATGTTGAGTGTATATAAATTAGTTAACTATACACTTTCTGATCTTAATAATTAAAAAAAAAAAGAGATTCAATTTTCGTCAGTCTCTGACAAATGTACATCAATGTTTTTATTTTTTGGAAGAACTGGAAGAAGTAATTCAGTTTCTTTATAATCTGGGAAAAATTCCACAACGATGTTTTCAGTAGGTGGTGGTATCAGTTTGTAGTAGGTTGTTTGATTATCATTAGAAGTCAGGCAGCAATGGCCAACAGAGTCAACCTTGGCAGTTATTATAAATGTTAATTCACTTATTGAGTCGTTTGAATTTTTGTATAATCCTATTAGTTGACAAATCTGAGTAGGAGTGAAATCCTCTTCAATTTCATCTTAAAACATAAGACATTTTTTTTTAATATGCTAAAATAAGCTTAATAGTTACTAGTTTCATTTGTTGTGTTAGAAAAAACTATATCAATTAATTTTGTTACACAAATGTGTGTATACATAAATATTTACCATTTATACTTTCGATTAGGGATACTAGGTCAGGATAAATCATTTTTCTTCTTTCGATACCATCTGATATCAATTTCGTAACGCCTAAATCTGTAAAAAAAAAAAAAAAATAAATAATTAAAAACATAAGTATTAAAATATTAGTGGTTTTGGCATAATTATATTTCATTTAAAAAAACTGTAACGCAACTAGTTTATAGGCGAATTATTTACAATTGTACCTTTTCGTTCGGCGCAATTTAAACGAATAATTGTTTGTTTGACAATGTTTCTTATTTAATAAAACAATGTTTAATTTTAAGTATAAATGTAGAAGTAATATTTGAAATTAAAAAGACAAAAATAACGGAAAAACGCCAAATTATTTCAAACTATCGTTTTGAATAATGATTGAAAGGTTGATTAAAACTTTAAGCAAAAGACATAATATAGCTTTATGACTTTGAACTCAAATTGCATAGTTCTAGTTTATGTTTCGTGTAAAGTAATAATAATTTTTCACAAATTTTCGGATAACAATATGTTAGTTTTATATTTACATATGCTTCGTATATTTCTGTGTAAAGTGTAATAAATGTATGAAATATATTAAGATGATTACCTCGAGAAGTATGAGTTTCAAATGCATATTCTGAAATTAAAACGAAAAAGTTGTATACAAAATAAACACCTAATAACTGACTGAAAATTATTCCAAATTTAAAATTGTTTACTGACAACGAGTATTACTTTAACAGCAAATTTTCAAAGAACACTATTTTTGGCATACTTATAAAGTGTTAAGCCAAAAACTTTGGACGACAATCATCATTTATTAAAGAGGATGAAGTGGATTGTTCATTTTAAATTCGAGAAACCAATCGAAGTAATATTGATTACCTCAAAATAATTTCGATTGATAATTTTTCTAAATAAGGTCATTTACGATTATTGATTAAATGCGTGTTTACCTACGGTATAATCGAGAGCTGTAACAAAAACACATAAAATAATTATTTTCATTAAGTAAAAACAATTTTTTATTTTTTAAACCTATAAGAGATAGCCACTTTACATTTGAGATTGCTTAGACAACTCAGATTACTCAACTAAAATAACATAAAAACCCCAAATTATTTTAAACTAACGATTTGAATAATATTTCAAACGACCATCAAAACTTTAAGCAAAAGCCTTTTTTAAGTAATTATTAATTTTGACAAATTTCTGGATAACAATATGTTAGTTTTATATTTACCTATGGCTTCTAATATTTCTGTTTGCAAAATATTCTGATATTCCATGCATTCTAAAATTCAGTTGAATTCAAATATTTAATATAAATATATACATGTATATAATAATATATATATATATATATATATTTATTATTATATACAACTCTGTATAAAGCGTAATAAATATATGAAATATTTAAAGATGATTACTATTAAGGTCTTGAAATTCTTCTGCAAAATCTGTAATTATAATGAACAAATTTTATACTTACTGATAACAAACAAATATGTGGAACTAATTCCATAAAATCCAATAAAAATGATTACCCGGCCCAGTCAACATATAAGCCAATTTTTCTACAACATAACACAAATATATAATTAATTAAAAATGTATCAATTTACTGTTGTAATTAAACAGCTGAGTAGAAAACAGGTAAAATTAAAAAAAAAAACTGATATAATAATATTGTAACCGAATGGAAACATATACTGTAGGATAATATTTTATTGAAACTTTATAAGTTATAATATAATTCCTATAAAGATTATAAATTAAATAAACAGTTTTCATTAATTATCCATAAGTTGGGTCTTTTTTAATTTAAATAAGATGTATACAGTCATACAATAAGCATATAGGATAAGTGTAAAAAGAAATTACATGAATAAAGTTGGGTTAAGGAATATTATCCTTTTTCCACTCTGCTGTTCAATTGTACATTAAACGATTTATTAGTATTAGTTTTTTTTTGTCATAAAATTACCCATCGTATATTTATTTTTAAGAAGAATTCGTTTGATTATATACTCAATTGGAGTATAGACTCTTACATTCCAGACTGGATCAGCTTTCACAGCTATAAAAAAAGTTTTAAATTAAATCCCAACAAAAATCTTTGAAATAAGAGAAAACGATGCTTTGACCAGTATATTTATTTTAAGTATATTTACGTTCTTGTTTAGAAGCATACTCGATGTATTTGTCTATAATATATTATGAAAAAATACGTATGAACACATTAATACTTAAATAGTTATTTAGTATGAAAACAATAATTTTACTGACTTGTAGTGGAAACCAAATTTACATAATCCTCTGTAGAAAAATTTAAATAAAACATGTTTTTTTTTAAATTTTAATTACTTGGAATAATTGTGTTTAAAAATAACTTACGTATTAATTCTGCCAAAACATTTACAATTGCAAATGACAATAAAAACCAGTAAAGATTCATTTTTGTCTGTAAATCAGAATAACATAAAAGCATTAGACAAAGACGATAATTATTAAAAACTATTAGCTCTGATCCAGAGCTGAGAAAATATAGTTTTTATAGTGTTTTTTATTTGTATATATATTTTTTTGTTACTAGATCACTATGAAGAGCCTTTATAATACTAAAAATGGAACAAGTTTATTTCTTTGACATTAAAATCGACGATAACACCAATTCAATTTACATTTTTTTAAATTACAGCACACCATATTATTTTGATAGTATTAAAAAAAATATTTTCCCCATAAGTTTGAGTATAATTTGAATATATTTAAAAAAGTTATATTGAAGTTAAATTATACTTATATTATTAATTGGAACTGATCTATCGGTTAAAAAAATATCAAAATCCTGCTACGATAGTTAAAAAATAGAAAATTTAAAAACGTTATAAAAAGTATATGAAAAGCGTAAAACTTACTGCAGTCTATGTTGATAGTTTTCTTGCAAATAGTCGATGAGCTTATATTATACCGACCAATATTGCCTTTGTGGCTCATAAAACAGCTATGTAAACATAAAGGTATGTTAATATTAATTTATTGTAAATAATGACGATATTTTAAACAAAAGTCACATAAAAAAACCGCCATAGTACTAAAAAGAAGAGATGAACTTGTGTTCACTATAGTATAGGGAAAACACATCGCTTAAATTCGAATTGGCGTTTATACCGCCGATTGTCTTAAATTATATACCGATTTGTCATTTAGTCCTAAAATTATTTAAACAGCTATGCATGTATTTATTTTTAATTAAAAAAAAAAAAAATCACACCAACATAAGTTTTTTAAATTAATCCTATACTGAGCAAATCAAACAAAAACGATCATGTTCATTATTACTAATAAAAAAAAATGTTTTAGAAAAATAAATTAAAACATTGTATTTATTTAAAAAGAAATTTAAACCTCGGTCATTGTACCTCTGGCATTTACACACACACACACACACACACACACACACACACACACACACACACATACACACATACACATACATACATACATACATACATATTATATATATAAATATAATATGTATAAACTATATAATATAACGCGGTATTGTTTTATTTATTTAAATATATATTTATATAGGTTTTTGCTACTAAATTATACTAGAATACTATGGTTATTTGTTATTCTTTATTCGAGTAGTTTTTAATTAGAGTGATAATGTGCGAACAAAAGAGAATATGCTTAATACGAATTTGCACAATTATTATGTTAGTAAAAAAGTATTTTCTATTTTATACCATACAAATCAGGTACTTGAATTCGTAATTGGAATTAAACGATAAAATACTGGCGTTTTGACCATTCTTGGTTATTAACAAGTATGACAGAGTTGGTGGAAAAATTAATAATATGTTAAGACCAAAAGCAAAAGCATTTTCGGTTCATTGTGTCGCAGCTGAAAACCCGTTATTCGAGCTCATTCGTCGGAAAATATCTTTTGAATACTAATCGGCCGACTGAAAGTTTCAATCGAATCGAAAAGTTGAAAAATTTAATATAAATTCTCGGAAAGTCATTAACATTGAATTAAATTAGAAAACAAACCGTTTATGCGGAATTAGGAGCGGGCTTATTTCGCCCGCCCTCTATAATTTTCTTCCGGAGGCGTTGAGTTTTCTCGATAATCTTGAAATATTTTTATTCGCCTCGTTTAAGTACGATAAATCCTTTTAAGTCGAATAATTTGTTGACGCGAGTTACAACGCAAAAGGGCGCGAATTAGGATTATTATCATCGCAGCGAATAGCCGTTTTGTTCTTGTGTTATTGTGAAAGATACCAAAGTTCAAAAATTTAAGACGGGATTTATTTCCTCTCGTTCTAAATTTTTATTCGGAGTACCACCACTGGATGTCTTCTCCAATCAAGCCATCAAGTAAAATTATATTATGTCTACTTTATCATTTACCCTTACAAATTGTATATAGATTGTGTAATATAAATTAAAAATTGTTTTAATAACTTTAAAAGTAGTTATCCAAAACTGGTTATCGACCTGTCAAATTTTTCAGCAAATTAAACGTTTCAAAAGTTGATAGAGACCTGTAGAATACTAAAAAAAGGTAAATATTTATTTATTTTATAATATTGTAAAATAACATATACAAAAATGTTTTCATAAAGAAACATTACAAAATCGCAATTATCGTAAGATAGTTAGTATCTTATCTTTAATGAATCACCTTATAGTAATATGTAAATTTTTAATTGAAAACGGCGAAAAACGGACAAACGTGGAGGAAGTTCGATAGTTTAGTTTCAGGTCAACAAATGCTGTGGATAATAAAAAAATTGGTATAACAATAAAACCGTTTGACCGGGTTGCTGTTTTAACTTAGTCCAAGTTCTTTTTAACATAAATCAATAGACAAAAGGTAAACTTATCTATGAACGTTAGTCAACACCTAATCACTGCCCACCCCTTATTGTACACATAGCACTAAATACAGGTTGTTCAAAAAGTTTGGAAGCCACTTTTGATTTCTTTATATTTTGATTTTTTAATGTTATTAGGTGTAACATTTTTTGAAATATTCGGTTAGCAGTTAATATTTTGAAAATAAGCTTTTACTTGAAACTGTAAAATTATTACCTATCAACATCTAAAAGTCAGAATATAAAAAAAAAATCAAAAGCTGGTCTGAAAGTCGAGGGTTTCCAAATATTTTAAACACCCTGTATATCATAACATCTACTTAATATAACTTATCATGTTTATGATATGGAACTTAGTCGTCACCTACGTTTTGTACTTAAGTGATAATACAAAACGGAGGCGTCTAAAAGGATATAACACATTAAAGGGGCGCAATAGGGGTGAAGAAATTGAGGGTGCCAACCCCCGACACTATTTTAATCATTGCTACGGTTGAGACCTTAACAGGGTGGCGTAAACTTGTTTTTATTTTAGTATGTTCTTGAAAAACAGTAACAATAAAAAAAGGGTTCTCAGACCTTAATGTGATTAAATATATTACAAGTAATGACATATTATTATAATTACAGGGACTCTAGGCTTTTCCCTTCTCAAAGTGTCGCTATACTCTGCCTCAGACGTTTATTTGTTATTTCGGTTCTGGTTCGTATTCGGGATTTCAAAAAAGTAATAGTTATTGTAAGACAATTTTTTTAAATTAAATTGAATTTATCAACTTTTTTCAAGATTTAGTTGCTATTAAAATTCAATGAAATTCATATATTTTTTTTAAACATTTTTATACCATGACAAAGTTATTAGGATTAAAACTTTTATTGAATTTTACGTTTTCGTTAGTTCAACTTGACTCATCTGACGTGGACACCTAAGTATGAAATGGTTCTATTTTAAAATATTTAATTACATTTTAAGCATAAATTTAAATATTGAAATTTTTCTTTTCTAGTTTCTAAACGCGCTAGATGACCATTATACACACAATGATATTATCATTACACAGTATAGTATAATATATTTTGTGTATTTTTAACTATACGACCATTACTGGTGGGTCCGCCGTCGGTGTCGATTTAATGGACTTAACGGCACTCTGCGAGTCCCGTGGGATCGACGGATGTCCATCAAAATCCTTGTTATCCCCAAGGCTTCTAACGCGCATAACCACCGCTTAATGAAACACCACTAGGTACTACAACAGCAGCAGACGATTTAGATTTCCAACGCTTCCGTCGAGAATGAGCCCTAGGGTGCGGATAGGCTACAGCCCCGGGGGAGGGGCAACTTATCGTCGAAAAATTTGTTTTGCCTAAAATAAAACCTGGTTACGAATGGCAGAGACGAGATGCGGCAAAAAAAAAATTAACAATAATGCCAATGCGGAGGGTTTAAACAGTGGGATTAAAGGTGATAGCCAAAAAAGGTCCGAGACGGGGTGGTTTGCAATTCGGCAAAGTTTTTGGGTAGAAGAATAATGTTTTATTTTTGTATTTTTTTTTTTTGCGTCGTTGTCGTTGTTCATTTTATGTTTGTCTATCGGCGAACTGGCGTATTATGTCATACCGTTGACGGACCCCTAAGGGCTAAGCGTGTTACCGTTCATTCCTTTTAACCCACAATAACAATTTACTATAACCCATATTGTTACGCTGTACACCGTGTATACTTATTATGCCTTGGGTTTTTTTAGGGGTCGCAAATCCCCCAACACTGTAAAATATAATGTGTTACACACCAGACAGCGTTAAATTGTTTCGAATATTGGATTATACCGTGTACATATTATATAAATCTGCGGCAACATGGCAGAATTTGATAATTCACTTTTGTCAATTTTGGTGAAAAAATTATACTGATATATTTTTAAATATCGTATGCCTGAGTGCTTTTGTCAAGCTATTGTTGCCAATACGGAAGCTAAAAACATTAATTGTATTTTGTCGAAAGTTGGAATCTTCAGTTATAAGCTTTTGCCACTATCACTGATAATATACGATAAATATATGTAGTGTTGAACATTACTGAAGCTTATGTCATCTGAACAAACTTAACAAATATTGTATCATATTATAATATTTCAAACAAATGTATTTTACGAGCTAATGCATTTTTTTCAACGTTTGGCCAGGAATGACAACGAAGGTTGACTTTGCTGGTCATGCTTATTTTTGAGATTATTGCCAAAAACGAAAGAAAAAAATTGTGTACAACACTCAATTTTAAAGTTGCAAGCAAAACCATTGTCAAAATTTTCTGTTTTTAATTTTGAGTTTCTAATACTAAACACAAGAAAATAGGAATTATTATTATTAATAATCTTAATATCTTTCATTTCAAACGTGTAATACTGTATTGAAATATTGAACGAAATATGCATGAGATAATACATATGTACTTACCAAATGTTGGGATATTTTTGTTTGCATAAAAGTACCAGACCAATACAAGTATAGCATTCATTATGGTGTGTAACAAGTAATTGGGAGACGGTTCTGACGACGTCGCGTGACTAAAATATTTCCAACTCCTGTCCGTGTAGTAATTCAACCTTATCTGCTTATATGCTTTGTATAATAGATACCATTCAAACACTCGATAAATGTATTAATTAGTAACCATTGGATCCGATATCGGTTCAAAGAGTTCCTCTTAAGGTGAACACGTCTGTAATCTATACTTTAATATTGCAAATGCAAATGTTTAGATGTAGCGATGGTGAAGATAGTGAGTACTGATTTTTCAGTTAGTCATGTCCAACGATGCCGAATTACAAGCTGTAAAACATTTTTTTTTTATACTGTAAAGCTAAAACCCTATAAATTCAGTAGGTAATACTATACGAATAAAGAATATGTAACATTTATTTTAGGGTTAAAATAGTGTAATGAAAAATGTAGTAGTAGGATTAAT